ATGGAAATGGGTTGCATGGACAACGGGCTGTTAGTCATGCAGATGGTAAGAGGTCAAATGATAGTTTTGTGCCAAATTCACTGGATAATGCTATTTCTGATCATGTCAATGGTTATTCTTCTGCCTCATCAGTAACGTATGTATCAAATGCAGGATATTGGACTGAAAATAGTGTTGGCCCAATCATAGGAGGTCCAGGTCTTCTACATGGAGCAGGAGTCAGAGGTGGTGTCGTGGCTGGGGCAACTGTTCTATCCACAAGTTCTTATTCTGGGCCTCATGGGGATATTGGGGGCAGTAAGATAGGGCAAATAGTGAGTAACAGTGCTCCAACATTTGGCTGGCACGGTGTAGATGCCACATATATTGACAGGTCAATTGGACAAAGCTCTGTTGGACAATCTTCATCCATGGGGGTTGCTGGCTTGCTTGGGCGATCAGAGTCTATAGATGGGTTTGCTGGTCGGTTAGATTACCCATCTTCTGCTTCTACTAATCAGACATCAGGAACTGATCTATATCATTTTGCTGATGTAGTAGCAGAAAGAGAGTCCTATGGCAGCTCTCACAGGCCTGGAACTTTGCCTCCCACTGCTCGTCATCCAACATATCTGTAGTCAAAAGAGTAAACGAAGCTATTTATTTTCCTTTCTTGAACAAGTAGGCTGCTCATTAGGTTAGCATCTTCACAGTTACCCCTTGCCTTATTAGATTTTACTTGTTATTTTACTGCAAAGGATGTTCAATGTTTCCGAGATGAAGCTTGTTGTCTTCATTTCCTGCTGTATTATGTCAGTAGTCATGGCAATAGAGACAGACCATCCACGACCAATGGAGGGTTTTCTCAATTCTAGATGTGTCCTTGACATGTGAATTCAATAACGCTAAAGCTTTGATGATATGCAATAATAATCACTAAAAGAACTGTTTATACCTGATTCAAAAAAATAATAACCTTTTTCTTATTTTTTTAAGAAAGTAGAAAGAGATTCAATTGCATGTTTTATCTGTATTATTCAATTATGTTTGTGTTACCCCCCTCTCTTTCTATAAACAAAATAGAACTGGCACCAAGAGGACAATCCCATAAAACCTTATATAATATGGAACACGAAAATATTGAGAACACTTGAATTCCCACTTTCAAATGCAGGTTTACCCTTCATTTCAGAAAAAGGAATTGAAGACCCTTCTAAGAGAAAAATAGATTTTTGATTCTTTTCTTTCCCTGATTATGGGATCGAAAAGGGAAATGTCATCATCCGAAGCTTCTGCTAAGATGAAAGTCAAGGCAGCACCGGTAATAACACTCAGCCTTGTCTTCATTCTTGCGAACTTTGCAGGTCTGTGCGTTAGTGCATTGCAGGAAGGGTTTTATAGAGGGAAGTGCGGGGTTGCAGATGTGGAGTTAATAGTTGCAGGTGTTGTGACAACCAGATTTTTCATGGACCCAACCATCGTTGCTGCCCTTCTCCGGTTGCAGTTCCATGATTGCTTTGTCAATGTAAGTTGCTGCCTTAATCTCTGCATTTTCAATTATCTAAACCCAAAAGGTGTTTCTGTTTATGTCACATTTCTTCCATCAGTTCCATGCAAGACCCATGAAGCAAGAATCATGATTCTTTGAATGCCCTTTAAAAATAATTTAAACTTAATTCCACTCTTTCTTTTCCCTTTATGTGTTCTTGATTTCTCCATTTGATCTTGTTTATGATTGCACTGTTTGAGCATGTATCTTCATGGTGATGCGTACTTAATTTAATAATTTATCCATCTAAACTTGTTTATGACTGAATTATAATCTAATTTTTTTGCATAAATGTTGTGGGAAAAGGGCTGTGATGCATCCATTCTAATAGATGGCAGCAACAGCGAGAAAACAGCACAACAAAATCACAGATTGAGAGGGTATGATATTATAGATGAGGCAAAAGCCATTGTTGAGAAAGTCTGTCCTGGTGTTGTCTCTTGTGCTGATCTCATTGCCATTGCTACTAGAGACGCTGTTCTCTTGGTAATCATTGCCCTTAATCCCAACTCCATGTATAACTGCAATCTGGTTTTGGTACCTGAAAATCAACACCGAGATTAGTCATAAGACTTGGAACTGAATTGATAAATTGCTTTATATTGTAGGGTGGTGGAGGAAGATACAATGTCCAGACAGGGAGAAGGGATGGCTTGGTGTCTCTAGCTCAGAATGTTAGCCTTCTAGGTCCTTTAGCCTCAGTACCTGAGTCCATTAAATTATTTGCCAAGAAAGGCCTGAGTGCTACTGATATGGTTATTCTTCTAGGTACTTGAAATCTTGACTTCTTGGCATGGAAATCAGCTTAAATTGATTTGCCTTAAAAAGCTGCTGTTGAAAACATTGTAGTTTTGTGGTGTAGGTGCTCACTCAGTTGGGGTCACACGTTGTTCGTCCATCAAACACCGTCTATACAACTATAAAAAGACTGGGAAACCTGATCCTACCATTGACCCTTTCCTTGCCAATCTACTAAGATCAATATGTCCTCAAAATTCATCTGTGGATAATATAGTAAACCTTGATCAAATGCCACTGGGACCATTGATTTTGGACAACTCCTACTACAAGCAGTTGATGGTGAACAGAGGCATTCTCCAGATTGATCAAGAGCTGGCAACAAAACCATGTACGAGGAAAGTTGTAAGAAAACTGGCTACAAGCTTGGATTTCCCTGCTCAATTTCACGCTGCCATGGTCAAGCTTGGAGCTATAGAGGTGCTTACTGGCAAACAAGGAGAGGTAAGGAGACATTGTAGAGCCAGAAACAAGCCCTCGTCTTCATAAACAATAGCAGAGGCGTTGGTAATTGGCTGTGGGGGAACCACAGTGTCCCATGGCTCTTGAAAAATTAAAAAATAAAG